ATAAAAATAAGTGAGAAAGAGAGGATAGGGTTAAGTCAGAGTTCGTCTTACGCAATAACTGGCAGTTGAATTCAAAAAACACGCTTTAGAAAGCGTTTGTTGGGATGAACTGCTTTTGAATTGTCGAACTGTTCAAGCCAGCCTGAGTTCCAACTTCATCCTCCTCGGTTTCAATATCGATGTCATCCTGACGTTCGGATGCATCCATGTCTTCATCCTTATTACTGCTCTCAACTTCATTAATCTCGCCTTTAATACTTCCGCCATCAGGCTTCGGTAATTCCAGTTCACGAATGTTCAATATCTGAGGTGTAGCCGATGCTGTTGCGCCTAGAAAAATGCATACTAAATCAAAAGCAAAACCGCTCCGTGTTTCACTTTCAGTACAAGCTGGAGGCATCAGTGTGTAACCCAAGTGAGAGCATTTTGCGGACAGCAAGTATTCATCCCTGACAGAGCTGCCACTTGTTCTGTCTTTCAAGTGCTTAAGAGCAAGCTAAAAACAGATTGCTTGCTAGCGTGATAAACACATCACTATCCAAGCATCATCGAAATCGATTTTCGAGCCGGTCGACGTTTCCATTGACAAAACAACGATTCAAGACTGACAGCACAATCCGCAGCTTTGGTTACTCCATAAAACGTGCAGTAGCACAACCAAAGCCGTAAGATCCGGAAAACACAAAAAAATCCAAGGCTTTTTGAAGAAATCATTATTTTAGAGTCTTAATTAGCTGAAGTTCATAACTAAAATGCTAAATTACAAACAAAAAATTTCGTCATACAATTTTTTAGAATTACTTTATGCTCCCACACTTCTGCTCTCAAAACTACTTCCATTCAGGCAAGTAACGATGCGTACAAGAATTTCGGTGCGATTCGAAGTTTTTGCTAAAAGCTGCTGCAGGCGCCTGACGTCTTAAGATTTGAAAGACACAAAGAAAGTCAAGTTTTGGGCTTAGATCACAAATCAGGATAAAGAAGGGATCGAAAACTAGTTATGCGTTTTTGCCTATATGCAAATTGCAAAAACGCATCTTGGGATGACCCTGTCTGTGTGTGTATGTTTGTGTGTATGTTTGTGTGTGTGTGTGTGTGTGTGTGTTCGTCTGTCCGAGTATTTCAACCCGGCAA